TGATTTTCTACAAGTAAACACACATTCCATTCTTGAGATAAATCCCACATGGTCATGATGTATTACTATTTTTTATATAATTGTTGGATTTGACTTACTAAAATTATAAAAGAATTTTTGCTTCTATCTTTATGATGGATCATGATCTGTAGCATTTCTTCTTATTTCTTAGTCCACTTTCTTTGGTTTGAATCAGAGTTATCAATATTCTTTTAGGATAAATTGTGAAGTATTACCTCCTCCTCAATTTTTGGACTAGTTTAGGTACAGGTGGAATTATTTCTTTCCTCATTGTTTGGTAGAATTCACCAATGGAGTCATCAGGGTCTAAAGCTTTCTCTTTGAGTGAGTTTTAAACTACAAATTCAATTTCTTTAGTGTATACGGAGTTACTCAAATTCTGTATTTCCTTTGAGTAAGCTTTGATAGATCCTGTCTTTCAAGAGATTTGTCTATTTCATCTAAACTGCTAAATAGAGGAAAATGAAGTTGTTTGTAATATCCCCTTATTATTCACTCATAATATGTAGAATTCTGTAGTCACATCACTTCTTTCATTTCTGGTTCCAGCAATTTTTGTCTTCTCTCTTTTTTTCCTCATGACTCATTTAGAAGTTGATCAACTTAGTTATTTTCTTAGAGAACCAGGTTTTGTGGTTTTGGCTCTGTGTAAGGTTCAGGAATTGTTCTCTCTGCCAATTTTGGGTAAGTCTTTCACTGGTAATGGATCATTTTCTTTAACCTGCATGCTCATTGATACTCAGCTGAAGACTCATTTTCATACAACTTTGAGGATATATTTGGGATAATCTGAATTAAAATTATGGTTATGTATGATACTCAAAATTCAAATTGATAATTAAGGAAGGGAACCTTAGAGAATGGTAGGTGTTCTCTGCAACAGCCTAAATTGCGTTGTGTTATGAAATCCGTACAATTGTTGATAGGCAGAGGCTTGACAATAGATTAATATGTCATAAAGAGAGAACATCTCAAGGGATTTTAAACTTAAGACCCAACATAATAAATTATAAGGTAAATTGCTACAAATTATAGATGTTGATCTACAATGAGTATGTATTATGAACCAGAATGAATGACATCTTTGATTATTTAACAATGGATAATTAATCTCTAATACAATGCTTTCGTGTCTTTCACAAAATATTTCAAAGTAAGTTTTTCTTTGAATTTCATTGTGGTCTAAAGAGTTGAATAACAATTATACAAAGCAAAAAAGACAAATATATATGTGAAGTGATAAAAGTGCAAAAATAAACATATTTCTAATATTTTTAAGTTTGCAAAAATAACTTTATGAATCAGAGAATTTTCCAAATGATTCTGTATACTTAAAATTATTAAATGATTTGCAGGGAATATGTTTGAGTGAATCTATCTTAGTTTATCAGGGTCCAGATCTATGGTTCCTTCAGAACAATCTGATATATAGTATATTTCTGCTGCATCCAATGTGCCAAATGCATACTAAAGCTTATTGAATTTTCTTGGTTATGAGGGTTTTATCAATTCTTTTCAGATAGTAAAGCTGGCTCATTCTTTAAACTAGAATCTCTTGTACAAATTCATTGCAATAAAAATTTAAAAAATGAATTACCCCAAATTCTTTACAGCGTTCCCAATAAAGTAAATGCCACCTTGAATCAGAAATGAAACAGAATTGTGAAGCAGCAGGAAGGGGTGCTGGGAATTGGCCTGGAAAGGATCTTTGGCCACTGGGAATTCAACTCCTCTGCAATAACAGGGGCTAAAAGTGCACCATGAAAAGCACAAGAAGAAAGCACGCTCCCCACTTGAATTCAGACTGGGGTGGGCATGCCACGACTGTAACTAAGGCAGAAAATCAAAACAAAACAAAACTTCTGCTTATTCCTCCCTGGACCTATAACCCAGAGAGAAGGCAGGACACAGGCAGTGCCACTCTCAAGAGCTGAACCAAGATTTCCACAGACTTAGTACACAAGACAGAAATCCTCCACTGCCACCAAGACTCCGTTTCTAAACTTATGGTCTGGGGAGGGAGACATAAGAGACAATCACTAAAAAGTCTGAGCACAAAGTCACTCACTCGCTCACTCAACTGACTCATGACAGAGAGAATGAGGAAAGAGAAAATGAAACAAAAGCTTCCCATTCAAATTGTGCTGCAAAATTTTAATTGTGGTAAATTACACATAACCGACAATTTGCCAGGTTAGCCATTTTTTTTTTTTTAAAGATTTAATTTTTTCTTTTTCTCCCCAAAGCCCCCCAGTACACAGTTGTGTATTTTTCGTTGTGGGTTCTTCTAGTTGTGGCACGTGGGACGCCGCCTCAGCGTGGTCTGATGAGCAGTGCCATGTCCGCGCCCAGGATTCGAACCAACGAAACACTGGGCCGCCTGCAGCGGAGTGCGCGAACTTAACCACTCGGCCACGGGGCCAGCCCTGCAGGTTAGCCATTTTTAAGTGTACAGTTCAGTGACATTAAGTACATTCACACTGTTGTGCAGCCATCACCACTATCCATCCACAGAACTCTTTTCATCTTGCAAAACTGAAATTCTGTACTCATTCAAAAGTCGCTCCCCATTTCTTTCACCTTTTGTCCCTGGCAACCAACATTCTTCCATCTCTATAATTTGACTACTCTAGGTTTAAGTAGAATCATACAATATTTGTGCTTTTGTGACTGGCTTATTTCACTTAACATAATGTCTCTAAGGATCATTGTAGCATGCGTCAGAATTTCCTTCCTTTCTAAGGTTAAATAATATTAGATTGTATGTATATATCACAATTTGTTATCCACTCATCCATCAGTGGACATTTGGGTTGCTTTCACTTATTGGCTATTTCAAATAATGCTGCTGTGAACATGGGTGTACAAATATATTTTCAAGTTTCTGCTTTCAATTCTTTTGATATTATACCCAGAAGTGGAATTTCTGTATTGTAAAATAATGCTATTTGTAATTTTTTGGAGGGACTGCTATACTGTTTTTGACAGCAGCTGTACCATTTTACATTCCCATTAACAGGGTGCAAGGGTTCCAGTTTCTCACATCCTTATCAACACTTGCTGTTTTCTGCTTTTTTGATAGTAACCATCCTAATGGATATGAAGTGGTATATTATTGTGGTTTGGATCTGAATTTCTTAACATAAGTGATATTGAGCAACTTTTCATGTGCTTATTAGCCATTTATACATCTTCTGTGGCAAAATGTCTATTCAAGTCTTTGCCCATTTTTAAATCAGCTTGCTTTGCTGTTGTTGTTGAGTTTTAGGAGTCCTCTAAATGCTATTAAAGATGTTAACCCCTTAACAGATACAGAGTTTGCAAATATTTTATGACATTCTGTGGGTGGCCTTATCATTTTGTTTTGTTCCAGCTTTACTGAGATAGAATTGACATATGACATTGTGTAAGTTTAACATATGCAACGTGTTGATTTGATACACTCATATATTGCAAATTGATTTCCACCATAGCATTAGTTAACAACTCCATCACGTCATCATATAATTACATTTCTTTTTTGTGGTGAGAACATTTAAGATTTACTCTCTTAGCAACTTTCAAGTATATAATACAGTATTATTATCTACTATCCCCACACTGTACATTAGATCCCAGAACTTATTCATCTCATAACTGGAAGTTTGTACTCTTTGACCAACATCTCCTCATTTCCCCTGCCTCCCAGCCCCTAGGAACCACCATTCTAGTCTCTGTATCCATAAGTATAGCTTTTTTAGATTCCACATATAAGTAATATCATACTTGGTATTTGTATTTCTCTGTCTAACTTATTTCACTTAGCATAAAGCCTTCAAGGTCCATCCATGTTGCCTAAAATGGCTGGATTTCCTTCTTTCCCATTGCTGAATAATATTCCATTGTGCATATGTATATATATATATATATATATATATATATACACTACCCTTCTTTATCCATTCATCCATTGATGGACATTTAGCTTGTTTCCATATATTGGCTATTGTGAATACAGCTACGCTTGCCTGTAAGTGTGACCATGTGGCTGGTTCTCAGCAAGGGAATATAAGCGTAAATGACATCTTTCCTTCTAGGTCAGGGCTTTTAAGAAGTGGGGTAACCTTCTTTATATTCTCCTTATGCTTCTGCCAACTTGTTGCAGATAACGGTAAGGCCCAGGGGATATCAGGCAAGATAGAAGAAGCCTCTATTTCTTTTTGACTCAGTTTTAGTAGGTTATATGTTTCTTGGAATTTATCCATTTCTTCTATGTTGTCCAATTTGTTGGTGTATGATTGTGCATAATAGTTTCTTATGGTCTTTTTCATTTATGTCGCATTGATTACAAGGTGTCTTCTTTCATTTCTGACAATCTATTTGAGTCTTCTCTCTTTTGTTCTTAGGTAGTCTAGCTAAGGGTTTGTCAATTTTGCTCATCTTTGCAAAAAAAACGCCAACTTCTAGTTTCATCATTGTTTTCTATTGTTTTTCAATTCTCCAATTGATTTATTTCAGTCCTAATGCTTATTTTTTTCCTTCTCCTAACTTTGGACTTTGTTTTTTCTTTTTCTACTTTCTTGAGGTGTAAAGTTAGATTATTTGAGATCCTTCTTTTTTTTTAACTGAAGTATATTTTATATACAACGTTGTATAAGATTAAAGTATACAACATGTTGATTCAATATATTTACATATGGCGTTATGATTGCCATTGTCGTGTTAGTTAGCACTTTTATCATGTCACATACTTATCTTTCTTTGGTGGTAGGAACAATTAAGATCTAGTCTCTTAGCAAGTTTATTATAATATGATATTGTCTATATTCACTATATTGTGCATTAAGTCTCCAGGACTTATTTATCTACTACTTGTATGTTTGTGATCTTTTTTCTTTTTTAATGTAGCATTTATCGTTATAAATTTTTCTCTTAGTGCTGCTTTTGCTGCATCCCATAAGTTTTGGTATATTGCATTTTTATTTTCATTTGTGTTATTTTCTAATTTCCTTTTTGATTTCTTCTTTTATTCAGTGTTTCTTCAAGAGTGTGTCATTAAATTTTTATGCATTTGTGAGTTTCTTTATGTTCTTTATGTTATTGATTTCTACTTTGATTCCATTGTGGTTGAAAAAGATGCTTTGGATGATTTCACTTTTTACAAATGTATTGAGACTTTTTTGTGACCTAGCATGTGATCTCTCCTGTGGAGCATTCCATATATACTTGAGAAGAATGTATATTTTGCTCCTTTTGGATGGAATGTTTTGTATATGTCTGTTAGGTCCAATTGGTCCATAGTGTTTTCCAAGTCTGCTGTTTCTTTATTGATGTTTCTGTCTGGATGTTCTATCTATTATTGAAATTGGGATACTGAGCTCACCTATTATTACTGTATTGCTGTCTATTTCTCTGTCAATGTTTACTTTACATATTTAAGTGCTCTGATGTTGGGTGTATATGTATTTGTGGGGACTGGCCACCAGGGTCTACAGGTTGGTTGTTGAGATCCATGTGCCAGTTGCTATGAATACCCACCTCTTTGCTCTGTTCTTACCTGCCCCCAGAAGATCTAATTGTGCCGCTCCTTCAGTGTTATGGGTCAGGTGATGCAGAAGCAGGCCTCTGAAGCAGTGCCCCGAAAGCTGAGGTGGCAGATGTTCACATAGCTCTCTCCACTGTGGGAAAAATTGCAGCTGGAGGGGTCTCTCTTAGCGCTGAGCTGTGCTAGGGTAGTGAAGTAATATCACTGATAAAGTGAAACTATTCTTACTCTTGCAATGTGGCCGTTCTCACATTTTGTGCTCCACTGGGATACTGGAGCCTCCCAAATGGACTCTAGAGCTCCCATAAAGGTATATTTGTCCATGGATAGTCAAATCCGTGTTACTGTGGGGCTATGAAGCCTCATATCTCCTATTCTACTGTCTTGCTGACATCACTCCCAGGTCTTTATATTTTTAATGTCTTAGTATATCTTATGCTTCTGAGATTTTTAAGGTCTATAAATCCAAGTGATAAGAAGGGGAAAAACATGAAAAACAGCTAGAGACAGGGAATGGGAGATAAGGAAATGCAGCTGTCAGTTGGCTATAATTTGTACAATTACAATTGTTACTCATTCTAATGGCCTTCCAATTTGTTACATTTACTCCTGATTGTGTATGAATGAAGCAGAGGGAGTTCATTAACTAATTGTTTATCTTTGTATTCAATGTCTTTTCTCCTTCCAAAATGTATGTATCTAGTTAATTGTTGTTATGCTATTGGATGTTTGCAATTATGTGTCTCAAATATATATAGAACATATTTGCTAAAGCAGATTTCTCACATCCGGGAGGCTTCTTTTATCAATCTCTGTAGAAAACAAAAAATAAAATGAGAACAAACACTTCTTTCAGGAGCAATATCCACATTTTTTGCCAGTAAGGTACAATCATTTAAGTGACTTTATTCTTTGTCTTTTAATAGGCTTGCCTGTTGAGAGAATGTATTGAACAAAATATCCTTGTATATTATTCATTCCATTTAAGTGCATATCTTATGCATTTTCAGTTCTAACAGTTTTTTAAGCAATATGACTCTGTGCCAAGATAATTACCTTCAATTTTGGGGTAATATAGTACTAGTGATGAAGTTATCCCTGATAAAACAGATACTTAGGGTAACAAAATTAGACTTTTGTATAAGTGTTTATGTTGGCTCCCATTACTTCCCTCTGTGAGTTTCCATAAATACTTTAATTGATTTGGATGGTTCTGTTTTATTATTAACATGTCTCAATTCATAATTTCCTGGGTGGGTTTCTGGTTGCAATGGGCAAGAACACCTACCAGGCTTAGAGTCTGTATTCATAGATTATATAACAACCAGTGGTCTTCATTAATGATATGATTTAGGAGGGCAGCATGAAGTATACAAAATAAGAAGTGTGAAGTATGAAGAAGAGAGCAGGCTTGTTTTATTTAAGTGATTCCCTTAAGAGATTAAGTAGCAGCCTTGATTTATAGTTTCCCAAATATTCACAGTCTTCTAATCCCCAAAAATACATGATTATAATCAATAGCCATAATCTAGGGAAACATTCCAAGTAATACAAAACCAATGAAATTATTTGATGAGCTAATTGTGCTGTTCTAAATGGAGCAAAACTACTCATCCCAGATGATGGGAATAAACTAATTTTCCTTTCTAAACTATATGTTCCCAAATTCAAAAAAGGAACATACACACACACATATGTATGCATATAATGGCTAGCCTGGATTATGGCTATTTATTATAATCATGTATTCTTGGGAGTGAGTGGACTGTGACTATTTGTGAAACTATAAATCAAGGCTACTACCAGAAAATCACTTAAATAACAGAAGCCTGTTCTCTTCTTTATACTTCATATGTCTTTTTTTTGTTAAAGAGTTTGAGCTAACATCTTTTGCCAACCTTTGCTTTCTTCTCCTCCCCTCCCCGTCTCCTCCTCCTCCTCCGTCTCCTTCTTCTTCCTCTTCTTCCTTTAGCTCCCCAGTACGTAGTTGTATATTCTAGTTGTAGGTCCCTCTGGTTGTGCTTACTTCATAGTTCTTATTTATATATATCACCTGGTTAGCCAGTCTTACTATGCAGGTGAAGTAAAGTCGTATGGCTAAATCTCATTGTTGCTATTTCTATATTTGGCCAGAAATTACTCACAATCAAAAGGGGAAAATTTGATGAGATCAGAGGTTTGGATGGGGATGTATGGAGGGCACTAAAGTAGGATATTGCATTTTGGCTGACCATTTTCTCGAAAAGTAAAACATGGAAGATAAAGATGAGAAGGGCAATGGAAAAGTAAAAATTGGGCTTGGCCATGTTTCCTGATAGTACAATTATTAAGAGCTTTTCAGTTGAGAAGATAGGAATTTGCTAAAAGCAAACTAGACATTGGGAATGGATTCATTTATTCATTCAACAAAATTGGTGCCTTCTTGGGTGACACAGGAACCATGATAGATGCACTGAGAGAGCAGTAAACTAAACAAAAATCTCTGCTTTCGTAGACCATTTTTATGGTAGTAGAGGGTGGTGAAATTATTAATAAGTATATATACAAAAAATAAAATAACTTCAGATATTGGTAAATACCTTTATGAAACAAAGCAGAATAACTGAATTCAGAAGGTGCTTAAAGAGAAGGTAAATCAGCACTTTATATAGGATGATCCAGGAAGTCCTTTCTACTTAGAAAACCTGAAGCTCACAGATGAATAATAAGAAGGGTTTCCTAGGCAAAAGACATCCCAAGTACAAAAGCCACAAGACAGGAATGAATGTGGGACATTTAAAAATAGGTAACAGGCTGTTTTAATAAGACTACGTCTGCTGCCATTTTCATTGATCTCTAATACAATAAATATCAAAGGCAGCAGAAGACATGTCTGCATTTTCAGAGGAAATTTCCGAGGACTTATTTCACTAATCTTGAATCTCATCATCCACTTTAAGAGTTTCTATGAGTCAGAGAGGGTAGACAAGAATATTACCTTAGGGAGAAAAGACACTGGGGCAATGGGTCTCAGACTCTGCTTGGGAAGGAGTAGAAGAGTGTAACCTTCAAATGACCTTCTGAAAGGGCTGTAAGCAAACCATTAAGTGAAAGCGGGAGAAATTAGTCATGCTTTGGTTTCCCTGTGAGATTTGTGTGTTTATCATACTGATTACCAATAGAAAGAAGACAAATTAGTCAAGGACATAGAGAATTAGGCAGAGTGTGGAGACAGAAAATGAAGTCAGAGCAGGGATGCAGGCCAGGTTATGCAGAGCCTTGTAAAAGTGTGGATTACATTCTGAATTCTTAGAAAAAGCATACATAAGACTAAAAGTGCCTTCTGGCTGCTGTGTGGAAAATGGACACTCGGGGGCCAAGAGCAAAAGCTTACATTTTGTTAAGAGGTTGATGCACTGGTTCCCAGTGACCAATGATGCCAGTTGGGCAACAGAGAAAGGCCATTCCTCACAGCTTGCAACCCATCCTGCTGTGGTGAGAAAAAGGGAGATGAAGCCAACATCCATGCAGAAAAAAGATAGTTTCAAGGACAACCTCTGCACACTCTGTAAGAAAACAATGGATTGTATAACTCATCACCAAGGATGAATTAAAGAGACCAAAACTGCAGGATTTATTTTAAAAATGCAAAAGAGGGGAAAAAATCATTATGCAAACTAACCTCTGAATACATATTTATTATATGTATTACAAGACAACTGTTGAAAATATCAATTAACAAAAAAATATTACAAACCAAATTTTAAAACATTTTGCAAAACTGGAGAAATGTATTATTTTGATAGAGGTATGAAAAGCTCATTCACAATGTTCGGGAAAACAATGGCCTGCCAGCAAATGAGCTAAAGACAAGGTTTTTTTAAAAAGACAGAAATTACTAATTATCAGGAACAATGGTCTAACTTCATTGGTAATAAAGAATATGATTAAAAAACAGTGAAATTTTATTTTTATCTATTACACGTATCAAGCAACAAATATAAATTTTAAAATGATAGTGTTATATCAGCTCTTTTAAGGGCAGCGTTTTCCTTTACAGTAGGTAGGGTTCAAGTTGATACAATGTTAAGGGAGGGCAATGTGACAACATTTAGTAAGTTAGAAAAAGTTCATACTATCGGTTCCACTGATGCTACCTCTGTTAATACATCCTAAAGAAATCATTGATAGAAAGTACAGGTCTGCCAAGCAAATACTAAAATCTTATAGGGGTTTGGCTTAGGAAGGTGGGATTAACGATCACTTCTTTTTTCTTTTTTTTTTTGAGGAAGATTAGCCCTGAGCTAACATCTGCTGCCAATCCTCCTCTTTTTGCTGAGGAAGACTGGCCCTGAGCTAACATCCATGCCCAGCTTCGTCTACTTTATATGTGGAACGCCTACCACAGCAAGGCTTGCCAAGCGGTGCCATGTCCGTACCCTGGATCCGACCTGGCAAACCCCAGGCCGCCAAAGTGAAATGTGCACACTTAACTGCTGTGCCATTGGGCCAGCCCAAGGATCACATTTTTTATATGTATTAAAACATGTTTACAAATTTGTTAAAGAATCTACTAACAGCACTATCATAGGAGGATTGTAATAAATATTTTAAACAATGAGCCAGTCATAAAATATTGTGTGATTAAATAATTATGTATGGTTTAACAAATGTAGGTACACTATTCATACAATAATGTGAATCATAGCTGTCAGAAGATATTTAATGGCAAAAAAGAATGCCTATGATGCTTTAGAATACAAGCAAGCAATACAGTTTTATTCATATTATGATTCTGTTTTGAGGAAAAATATGTATACATGACAGGCACCAAAATATTAAAAGTGAATGCCTACCAGTAGTTGGAAAATAGATGATATATTTTCCTTTCATTTTCATCAAGTTGATTTCATACATCTTCTCTAATGTTCATATGTCAATATTCTATTAAGAAAATTAATAATATGTAGTTTTATAGGTCAAATGCTCATAATAATAACACCCAGCTTTAAGATTCCCTTTGAGGATTAAGTGAGATAAGGCATGTAAGTTTTTACTGAGTATACAGGTATTCCGTAAATATCATTACCATCACTTGGAACTTTGCTTCCTACAGCTCTAAAGTAACAGGAATAAACTGAATTACTCGCAAGGCTATGCAACCTCAAAATTCTATGATTTGTTTTCAAGACAGCACAAGTGCAGACTGAATCTGGAAATCTGAGCAGAGAGAAGTTCAATTGTCCTACACAAGGACTAATCTTCTTATTAAGCCATAAGTAACACAATTTAAGCAAGTCAGTGAACTGTCCACAAATATTAGCTCTCTATGTAGCTGAAACTGAATCTAATTTGTCATTTATGAGATGAACACATATCCAATATAATACCTTACCTCATATTCTAACTTGATTTTTTAAAAGAAAATACTAAAAAAAGAAAAAACCTTTTTGAGATTCTCAACATGTATGTTTGGTACACTGGTTATTTGCTTTTGATATGTGCTATACGCTTCTCTTAAGCAACTCAATGTTTTCAGTTATTTTATTACAATTATTTTATGTGCAAAGTGAAGGTTCAGTAATTATTGACTCACTGAGTTACAATAAAGGTAAACAGGATAATAAAATCAGGCAGGCATTTCATCTGCACCTTTTAGAGATTCACAAAGTTGCATGCAAAGATGCATATAGCACATTTTTGCCTAAAGGTTCAAGTAATAGAGAACTCAGATCAAATGTCAATGTGCATGATATAATTCCTTCCTTCTCTAAACTATTTGTTTAAATCATAAGTTCGAAGACCGATAATTGTGGTGCTAAAAATAAAAACA